CTATGTATTCCTCCATGGCAGAAGAAGGGGGTTGGACTGGATGGCCCTTGGGAGTCCCTTCCATCTCTAGGATCCTATGTATTCCTCCATGGCAGAAGAAGAGGGTTGGACTGGATGGCCCTTGGGGGTCCCTTCCAACTCTAGGATCCTATGTATTCCTCCATGGCAGAAGAAGAGGGTTGGACTGGATGGCCCTTGGGGTACCCACTGACTCTAGGGTCCTATGTCTTCCTGCATGGCAGAAGGAGAAGTTTGGACTGGATGGCCCTTGCCAATGCTATGCTTCTGTGACACCAACAGAACCTCAGAGTCATCTCAGGTCTTGGCCTCTGTACCAAATGGTTTTATTTCGGAAATCTCCCAAAGTCACCAAGGGATCCTGAAGGAGTGAATCCCTTTTGCAGCCAAAGGCTCTGGGTTGGAAAGCATCCCCCTAAGAGGCCATCCAGACCACTCTCCCCACAGACATGACATGCCCATGCCAGATGTCCCAGTGCCAAATATCTGCCCTTGCAAGGGGCACAGCGTTTCACACACGGCTGAACTTTTCGATGCCAAAGCAGGCACTTTTGGGCAACAGACACTCGCCATCCAGCAGATTCTGGAGCTGTTCCAGAAGCGAACCGCAACGTGGCAAAGTGTTGCCTGGGTCCACTGAGGCTGTGGCCCCATACAAGACCCCTTCCCACCAGATCCCCTCACCTCCTGGCCCCAGGTATGGCCACAGGTGCTCTGCCCAGGTGCTCTGCCCTCTCCTTCCGCTTACCTCCAAGCTCACCTGGGGGGTGATTTCTGCCCCTCCGCCTCCCTGTCGCCTGGGCCAGGCATGATGGGACTTGTGGTTCTGGGGTTGAAGCCACTTGCTCAGCCTTCCAGGCAACGCAGGCATCCGCTGCTCCATTCCTCCAAATCTGCTCCTCTTCCCCACAACATTGGCCCACCTGGTCCACTCCCTGCAGACCAGTACCTGCTTTTCGGCCATGCGCTCTCACTCGCTTATGGACGCACCTGTGCGCACCACACCTCCTTATTTGATTCTCTGGGGGACAACCAGTACGCCCGCCATCCTTCCCACTGGGCAAACTGGCAGGGACTGGTGAGAACTGGGAGAGCTGGTGGTAGTGCTGGCTGGAGGGGTTTGGGAGCCATAGCTCCCCAAAATCTAACTTTTCCAAACTCTGGTCAGGGAGAATTGACAGACTGCCTTTCCAGTTGAAAGTGATTTTGAGATGATGATGATGATGATGATGATGATTTTATTTCTTACCACTTCTGCCCAGGATCAAGGCAGGGAACAACCACACATTAACAAACAACATCAGTTAAAACAAACCAGTCAAAACACACATCTCCCCATGGACAGGGATATGGCACCTCCCGCACCCGGTTCCAGCAAGTCCAGGAGAGTGAGTCCCTGGAGCCCAAACAACTCATGCCAGGCTCCTTTGTTGCCTGGACCCCCACCCACCCCCTCTGACCCCAGTTCGAATCCTGGCCTCCTGTCCACTCCCTGCC